AAGAAATATATAAACAGAGACAACAAGACATGAGAAGGTCCTATGTGACACACACAATACGATATTGTCTTATATATATATATATATATATATATACATTTCCTTTTATATTAAGAAATTAAAACATACATAATATTAAAATTTGAAATATAAATTAGATTTTGATACCAATGTTATTGATATATAGTAATAATAAAGTTACTTATTAAACTTTTAAAAATAAATTGCTAAAGGACCATGACATGCGTAGTTAGACCCAGCCATTGCAAAAGGGTTAATTTATCAGCAAATTCCACTAATTACCCAGCTCTACTTGCAAAGAATCTTTATTCAGTCTCTACACCACACAAAATAAGAGTCACAGGAGATTTAACCTGAGAACTAACATCCAGGCAGTAGTACAATGGGGGGGGGGGGACCATCTGGAGGGGTGAACTGTATGTGGTGGATTCATCCAGTCCAAAACTAGGCAGCATCGGGAACTTTTCTTCCAGTCCTCAGAATGAGGAGAGTACTCATCATCTATACCAACAGAACACCACCACCCTACTCTCAACTGAGTGCAATCAGTCACACTCAGGAAGAAGCCTCCATGGTCCACCACCCCAGCAGCTAAGAACTGGTAAGTGGCAAGGACTGGGAGAGAGAGAGGTACAAGGTGGTGAAGAGTCCAGAGGAATACAACACCATAAGACAATGCAATGGGTAACCATGAAAACCCTATTTTTAAAAACAGGCCTGTCCCTGTGTATTCAACTAGGACTGGAGGGATGGCAGCAATCCTGACACTGATTTACTCATGACTGTTCACGAGAAGGTACAGTCTGGTGTGGGCTTTATTTATGAAGCAAGATACCATGAGGCAACCTCCAGCAGTCTTGTGGAACATCCCATTTCTTAGTGAGCATTTCAGATCTGTACAGCCATATGTTATGGATTTACATTTAAGTATACTTGGACAGGCACCACTCATCACAGAGCAGGATCCATGAAAGGAGAAAGGGCCACTGGAAGGGAAAGAAATAAAAGAAAGAATTTACCCTTCCAGAGACCAAATGATGTATGGAGAATAACCAGATGAAGAGGTGATGGCCAAATGATGCAGGCAGTGGAACATAAATCTGCGAGACATGGTACACATGCCAGTCTGCACAATTTCTTCTAAAGGACTACAAAAGTGGGCAGCCAGGAAAAAAGGTGAGATGACATATCTGGTGGGAGGAGACTTGGAAAAT